GCGCAGGATTTGTTTGACAACTGATGTTGGGAAACACAAAACGTTCGTATGTGTTCGGAACGCCCGTCTATGAAGTCCTTACGAAACCTAAGGCGTTTGAAGAATTTGAGCATGCGCGCGCGACGACGCGCGCGATCACTCCGTCCCATTCTTTGCAAGGGATTATTGCGACAACCGCGCGCAAGGGCTCTCGAACGATTTCGACATGCGCGTCCGGGAGGGAGGACCTTTTGGTAGCACGTTATGAACATTTTGAACAAACAACATGGTTTGCTTAAACAATCGCAAGAACGCAAGCGCATACGTTGTTTGAACCCCCTGGTTGCGAAACAGCATGTTTCTAATACGTTACCGAAACACTACAGTTTGAAATCCTCACGACATCTTGAATTTTTTTCTTCCGGGATTTCGGCATGCGCGCCCAGTGACGCGCGCGTGTGGACTTCGTCCCTTGCTGTTGCAAAAGATCCTTGGAATCTAGTGATGTTTGAGAGGCGAGTGCGCGCAGATTGTTCTTGTTCCAGAGGATGAGGGGGGGGGGGGGGGGCGAACCCCGCCTTGCCTGGGATGGTACGAATTCAGAGTTAGGATGGACGGCTGGGCAGAAACATATGTACATTGCAAATCCCCAGAAAAGGGTAATGATGAGACCGGCCTCGGCAGAGTGGTGGATCCAACGTTTTGTTTCGTTGTAAGAATATAGCAAAACGGGAAAACAAATCTACGTGGTGCAAAATACGCGGTGCAATGTGCGCTGTGCAGTCCAAGTTTTGCAACACCTGCTATACAATCCACGCGGTTGTGATATATACGTGGTGCTATCGATGTTATGATATCTACACACATATATCTATAAGCACAAAGATCATATAATCAAAATCGCCCACTCAAGAAAAACGCGCCGCTAACGCGAATTTGCGTGGTGCAATATATTTGGTGCGTCACGCACACCCATGTCGGCACACTCCTCCAACGTTTCGTGGCCCCACAGGGAGCTCCACCGAAGGCCCCAGTGCCACCGACCGCATGCGTCACGCACACCCATGTCGGCACACCCGTGACACGTTTCGTGGCCCCACAGGGAGCCCCACCGAAGGCCCCAGTGCCACCGACCGCATGCGTCACGCACACCCATGTCGGCACACCCGTGACACGTTTCGTGGCCACACAGGGAGCTCCACCAGAGACCCCATAGGGAGCTCCACCGAAGGCGCCAGTGGCTGCGCTCGCATGCGCCCACCGCACCTATTTCGGCACACCCATCACACGTCTCGCGGCACCATGGGGAGCTCCACCGACGGCCCCCACGGCTGCGTTCGCATGCGCACACCGCACCTATTTCGGCACATCTCTCACGCGCTCCGTGGCAACATTGGGAATTCCACCGGCGGACCCAGTGGTTGTTTCCGCATGCGTCCACTGGACAACTGTTGGCACACCCCTCACACGCTTCGTGGCCCTATGGGAGCTCCTTCGAATGCGGTGCATACAACGACGGGACCCACAACTGCATATGGGTGGGTCCTTTGCCAGGCTAATTCATCGATGTCCTCCAAGATGGCCACAATAGCGCCCCTGAACCTCCCAAGGGCGGCCCAGGAGGGCCCTACGAGGCGCCCAGACAGCCACAAGAGACCTACAAGAGGCGCCCAAGAGACCCCATACAAGGCTTCAAGAGGTTCGCCGAGGTACCCGGCTCTCCCTTCTTCTCCTCCCCATCCTCCTCCTCCTTCTCATCCTCCTCGTCCTCGCCCTACTCTACCTTCTCCTCCTCCTCCTCGTCCTCCTCTTCCTCCTCCCCCGACGACGAGAACTCCTCAATCCTCCCCCTCTTGGGGTATACGACGGCTTCACCCGCCCTTTGTTCTTCTGCGTGCTCCCTCACTTCCGTGATCACGTTAACTCCCATGGGCATCGTTTCTAGATGGGCAAGTGGGGATACGCGAAGCGACACACATTAGTCTGAGTACAAGTGAGTCAGACTACGTTGGAGTCTGAGTGTGATGAGTCAGCTCGAATGAGAACGAGGTGCTGATGAGTGAGCTGAGTGTGAATACGTCAGGGTAAAGAAGAAGAGGCGGTGAGAGAGTGAGATCCGCAATAATCTAAGCAACACAAATCCACAAGACAAGCCTGGGAGGCAGAAACAGGCAAACCACCTGAAACATCCCTAAACTCTCGATGCGAATCTTGGAGTGCCCCCACGCCTGGCGGCTCCCCCTTGGGGTGCCCAACTGCAGCGCCTGCTGTATCGCAGTGAACAGTGGACCACCGCAAGAGAAAAGCTTAGTGGGGGGGCGGTAACAGGCAACACGCCTGAGACTTTCCCACAATCTGGGCGCGATCGGGCCCGTGCAACACCCCCTGGCGGGTCCTCCCTTTGGGTGCCCAGGTGCAACGTCTGCTATTATCGCGGTGAGCAGTGGACCACCGAAAGAGAGCAGTCTGAGGCGCCGAAACACGCAAAACGCTTGAGATCGCTTGAGACGTCCCCGCAATCTGGGCGCGCACAGGCCCGCGAACCCCCCTGGCAGCTCCCCCTTGGGAGTGCTCAAACCAGCGCCTCGCCTAAGACATCCTCGCATTCTGCTCCAACAGCATCGAAGCGAGAAGTCGGTTCGGATCGACCCGAGCATCGGATCGGCAGAACTCAGCAGACATCGGCTGTTACACCGAATCGGCAGAAGTCGGCAAAGCCAAATCGGACCGACTCGTAAACCGGATCGCGCCAGGCCGGAACGAAATCGAAATCGGGAGGCCTAACAAGAAAGTGGAGGCGGGGATAGGCCGTGCCTCCTGCTCTCCTTCCTCATCCAGACTTTCGTCGTCGCACGTCGTCGTCGCACGCCGTCGTCGCAGGTCGTCGTGCACGTTGCTTAGGCACCCACTGCCGGGACGCCTCAGCAACGACGGGCCGCACCGGCCGGTCACGCCGAAGACCGTCGTTCTGTGAATGCCCTCCTCCCTCCTTCCTGCTCCTCGGCCGCTCTTTGTCCTGGCCCTTTCTCTTGCAGCCGGACAATGGGTACGCTTTGCCCCAGCTGCTGGAATGCGCGAGTGGATTGCCTCTGCCGCGCCGCGACGGAAAAATCGTCGTGCACGCTCGCACGCGCCAGTCGTCGCAACTCCAGTTTGGCTTGTCTCACAATCCGATGGGGGCCACCCCTTCAGGGGCCCCCACCTTCGTTCGGCAGAGATCGACGGTCCTGGCATTCCTTCTATCCTACCACGACTTCTTCTTCATTAGGACAAGAGATCACTCTCATAGCAAATATGGTGGGGCATTGGACAAGCATCCCTTAGATAAGGAATCCAGGGTCTGGAAGCCAGTGGAATTCCGATCGTGGATCGGCCATGTGTATCACCGCCGCCCTCATCAGATGAGGAACCCTCCAGGGTCTGAAGCCCCGGGGCACATTCCGTAACCAACGCCCCCGCCGCAACCATGGTCTCAGAACATGAAGCCGACGCATCAAAACAAAACAGCCAAAGCCATACAACTTCTGAGAAGAGTTCGGGCAAACCGCACAAGGTTTCTGGAACATTCTCTGGGCGGCCTGTAATAACGCAAGCCAAGACGCTTCGCCACTGCTCGACTTCGGGGGCCCGCCGGCCCCTTTGTAGGGGAACAAAAAATGACATAAACATAAAAACTTGGAGCTCCGCGCGGGTTTCTCTGATCCACGCTGGAACCCCCTGGCGGCGCCTCCGGCGCTGCCCCTGGCGCGCTCCGCGCGCCAGGGAGTGGCATCCAGCACGGATCCAAGAAATCCGCGCGGACCTCCGAGTTTTTATGTTTATGTCACTTTTGGTTCCCCTACTTTGGGGCACATTCTGGCCACCTCCTCGCGGCCCCCTCGGGGGCCCCTTGGTGGAGGGAACTTCGGTGCGGGGCCCTTGGCACCCTGGCACGCTTGGGGAACCCATAAACGTGGCGATACTGCTACTCCCCGGATCTCTCCCGGGGCGAGTTCTGCCAAGGATTTCGTGGCGAATCCGGCGGTGTCGACGAGGACCTCCCAGGAAGCCCAAAACGGTCAAAAACGAGCCAAGTGCAGCGGCATCGGTACCTTTTGCTCCTCTGATCGCTCCTGGTCGCTTGGAGGCTGGCGCGGCGTGCCGTCGTCGCTGCAGTCGTCGCCATTCTCAAGGCAACTCGGGACCCTCGGGGGACTGGCCGCACCGGCAGCCTTCGGCCGGACCGAACCGGGCGAACGGGGCCGATCTTGCCAAGCCGAACGGCCGACCTGGACCGGCCGAATCGGACTGGCCGAACCAGACCAGACCGAACCGAACCGGGGCCATCATGCCTCCTGGAGGGACGCTGGATCGGCAGGGATCGGCAGAAACTGGCTGACACGTCGAATCGGCAAATGTCGGATCGGGCGAACTCGAATTCGGAAGCACGAATCGGAATCTCTGCGTCGAATCGGTTCGAATTGGCACCCAGGGAAATCGAATCGAATCGAGCCAGCGGAGAGGAGTCGAGAGTGCCGAAACAAGCACACCGTCTTAGACACCCCCCCAATCTGGACGCGAAGGGGCCCGTGAAATACCTTCTGGCGGCTCCCCAGTGGGGTGATGAATCCAGCGCCTCGCCTGAGGTATCCTTACAGCCTGTGTTTCTGAGTATGGGTAAGTCTGAGTGTGATAAGTGGGCCTGAGTGCGAGTGAGAGAGAGAGCCTGAGTGTAATGAGTGAGCCTGAGCGAGGAGTAGAAAGAGGGACGATGGATGAGGGTGAGTGTGATCACGAGTGAGTCTGAGTCTGAGTGAGTCTGAGTGTCAGTCAGTCGGAGGGTGAGTGAGTCTGAGGGTGAGTGAAAGGGTCAGAGGAGGATCAACAACTGTGAGTGAGTAGGGCTCTCCTGAGGAGTCGGAAGACTCTACGTAATGAGAGGAGCCAGATCAGCGGAGATGCGGGAATACAGACCCACGCACTAAGAAGACAACACATACTTCCAGAACTGAATGCAAGCACCACGCGTCAAAAACGAAGTCCTTCTCGTCTCCGTGCATCCGCTGCTCGTTCTGCTCATTGCCAGCTTCGACGACCATGCCCAAGTCGTCGCTGAAGCAATGTTTGCGGTGGCTGGCCTCAATTGCCGTCAGAATCACCCACTTCCGCCATCCCGGCAAGTACGCTGTTGCCACCTCGGTGACCTCTTCCACTTTGCGCCCTCCCCTCCCTTGCGTCGACCCAGGATTACCTACGGAAGCATCTGGAGAACGGCGAAAGGGAGTGGGGGAGGAGAGACGGATGCATGAAGCATGAAGCAAGTAAGGGGAAAAAGGGTTGCAGACGCCTTCTCTAGCGGACGGATCAACGACTCCCCCAGCGAGGAACTGTCAGCACTAATCGATACATTGCGGGCAGGAAAAGCTGCAATACCTGACAGCATGTCCCCATGCCTCTGGAAAACACTGCGGACCGACGCTGATGCCCGCCAGGTTCTGCTCAAGATCTGTGACGTGTGATGACGGCAGACGACCGCGCCAAAGCAATGGAGATAGTTCAATCAAAAAAGGTCCGGCGATGCCAGAGAATTGCAAATCAACATCATGCAATCTTCACGGATTTGGAAAGTCGCCGCCGGCCGCCCTGGTCCTGAACCGCATGATGGAAAGAGGAGTTGAGGAACCTTGCTGGTCAACCCAGTTCGGATTCGGAAAGCGCCGTGGAACTAGCCATGCCCATCCCCAGGTATAAGGACGGATCGAGAAGGCGTGGGCAGCAAATGCGATGGCCACCCCTCCGTGCTCCTGCATGCCTGGCTAGAGCAACTGGTCGGAAGACGGCGGCTGCTTTGGCCATCGCCCTTGCCAAGTCAGGCGCTCCATTGAGGGATGCAAACCGCCCCCACCCTGGGTCGGGAGCTGCCAGAGGCCAGAGAACCGCCAGGACGCCGCGCGACATGCAGGGTTTACCCTGTCAGCCCACAGGAGGTTCAGCGCACAGCGCCCCGTGAACCAGGGTACAGTCGGGCCGCTGAAAGAAGGAACGCTAAATAAGGAACGACACCCCCTCTTGGCCCTGCAAGCGCCTCCGTGCCCCAGGAGGGCAAGAGGAACAACACTGGATGAACCTGAGGAACATCGAGCCCCTTCCGAACCCAAACTGTTCCTTATTTCAACGTCTTGACTGTAGGGGCGCTTTTAACGCCCTTGGCTCCAGGGTCAAGTCGGGCCTGTCCCCCTACAAAGGGATTTCGACGAACAGTGCAAAATACAAGAAATACGTTCCGAAATCGTCAAAACAAACTTTAATTAGCCAGACGAAGGATCCAAGCATATGCAGGTGTGAGTACCGCAAGTGTGATTCCCTTGGGGCAGCGAGCCGTGCTAGTGGTGTGCCAAAATGAATGGCGTGGTACACAACGCGAACGAAAACGATTGATCTGAGTACGTAGGGAAACTGAGCGCGGGTGAATCTGACCGCGAGTGCGTCTGACTGTGAATGAATCTGCGTGCGAGCGAGTCTACGTGCATGAATGCGAGTATGCCAATGCATGGTGCAATTGTATATGAGCAATAATAGTTTGTGAACGATTGCCTCTGAGTGCTCGTGACGCTGGGAGTGGCCGCCGCAAGGGTCGCGCCCGCTTCCTCCCCTTCTTTTACTCCCTCTTTGCCCGCGCATTCAAAGTCCAAAGCTGCGGGCGCAGCGCAGCGCGGAGACCCAGCGACGCGCGGAGGTCGCCACGGAGGGGTCCCAGCGACGCGCGCGGGTCGTCCGCTGCGCGCAGCAAAAAGAGCTAGCTGGCTGGCTGATAGCGGGCAAAGCTCTTGCCGCTGGGCAGAGCGACGACGGGCGAGGGAGGCGCGGAACCCCGACGGCCTCCGACGGAGGTGTACTGGGTGGTGAAGACGCGTGCGGACTGCGCCACGGGGACCTTCGGTGGAGCTCCCAATGGGGCCACGAAGCGCGAGAAGGGTGTGCCGAAATGGGTGTGCGGGACGAATGCGGGCACACCCACTCGGACCTTCGGTGGAGGTCCTTATGGGGCCACGAAGCGTGTGAGGGGTGTGCCGAAATGGGTGTGCGGGACGCATGCGGGCACACCCACTGGGACCTTCGGTGGAGGTCCCTATGGGGACACGAAAGGTGTGAGGGGTGTGCCGAAATGGGCGTGCGGGACGCATGCGGGCACACCCACTGGGACCTTCGGTGGGGCCCCCTATGGGGCCCCGAAACGTGTGAGGGGTGTGCCGAAATGGGTGTGCGGGACGCATGCGGGCACACCCACTGGGACCTTCGGTGGAGCTCCCTATGGGGCCGGTGTGCCGAAATAGGTGTGCGGGACGCATGCGGGCACACCCACTGGGACCTTCGGTGGAGGTCCCTATGGGGCCACGCAACGTGTGAGGGGTGTGCCGAAATAGGTGTGCGGGACGCATGCGGGCACACCCACTGGGACCTTCGGTGGAGGTCCCTATGGGGCCACGCAACGTGTGAGGGGTGTGCCGAAATGGGTGTGCGGGACGCATGCGGGCACCCCCTCTGGGACCTTCGGTGGAGCTCCCCATGGGGCCACGAAGCGTGTGAGGGGTGTGCCGAAATGGGTGTGCGGGACGCATGCGGGCACACCCACTGGGACCTTCGGTGGAGGTCCCTATGGGGCCACGAAACGTGAGGGGTGTGCCGACATGGGTGTGCGGGACGCATGCGGGCACACCCACTGGGACTTTCGGTGGAGCCCCCTATGGGGCCACGAAACGTGTGAGGGGTGTGCCGGAATGGGTGTACGGGACGCATGTGGGCACACCCACTGGGACCTTCGGTGGAGCTCCGTGTGGGGCCACGAAACGTGTGAAGGGTGTGCCGAAATTGGTGATGACGATGATGATGGTGGGAGGAGGAGGAGGAGGAGGAGGAGGAGGAGGAGGAGGAGGAGGAGGAGGAGGAGGAGGAGGAGGAGGATGAGGATGAGGATGAGGATGAGGATGAGGAGGAGGAGGAGGAGGAGGAGGAGGAGGAGGAGGAGGAGGAGGAGGAGGAGAGGAGGAGAGGAGAGGCGGAGGAGAGGAGGAGGAGAGGAAACGCGGGCCACCGTCTCTTCAAAACGAGGACCCAGTTACCCTGGCGAAGGACCCAACCATATGCAATTGTGAGTACCGCATTTGTGAATATCTTCTTCGGTGGCGCTCCCTATGGGGCCACGAGCCGTATGAAGGTGCGCCGAATTGTGTGGCGTAGCCTCTGCAGGGGGCTTCCGTGGGAACCCCGAGGCAGCGCCCTCGCGCCGCGACGCCCATGTCGGCACGCCCCACACGAGGATCGCGCCCGCTTCCTCCACTCCTTGTTCAATTCCCTTTGCCCGCGCACTCCAAAGTCCAAGGCTGCGGGCGCAGCGCAAGGCGGAACCCTCGCGACGCGCGCAGGTCGCCCCGGAGGGGTCCCAGCGACGCGCACGGTCCGTGCGCTGCGTGGAACACAGATTGTTTGTTGGCTAACTGATAGCGCGCATGGCTCTGGCCGCCGGGCGGAGCGACGACGGGCGAGCGAGGCGCTGGACAGAGCGCAGCGCGGAGTTCGCGCGACGCGCGCTGATCGCCCCGAGAAAGTCCCAGCGACGCGCGCAGGGCGTCCGCGGCGCGAGGCCAAACAGTTGGACAACCGAGAGAAGGCGCGGCTGTGGCGGGCCGCTCCCCAGGTCAAGCCTAGCAGATAAACTCGGGGCCACGAAACGAGCGAGGGGTTTGCCGCAATGTGTGTGCGGCACGCGTGCGGACACACCCGCTGGGACCTTCCGTGGAGCTCCGTGTGGGGCCACGAAACGTGTGAGGGGAGTGCCCGAAATGGGTGTGCGGGACGCATGCGGGCACACCCACTGGGACCTTCGGTGGGGCTCCCTATGGGGCCACGAAGCGCGTGAGGGGTGTGCCAAAATGGGTGTGCGGGACGCATGCGGGCACACCCACTGGGACCTTCGGTGGAGCTTCCTATGGGGCCACGAAACGTGTGAGGGGTGTGCCGAAATGTGTGTGCGGGACGCATGCGGGCACACCCACTGGGACCTTCGGTGGAGCTTCCTATGGGGCCACGAAACGTGTGAGGGGTGTGCCGAAATGTGTGCGGGACGCATGCGGGCACACCCACTGGGGCCTTCGGAGGGGCTCCCTACGGGGCCACGAAACGTGTGAAGGGTGTGCCGAAATGAGTGTGCGGGACGCATGCGGGCACACCCCCTGGGACCTTCGGTGGGGTTCCCTATGGGCCTACGGGGCCACGAAGCGTGTGAGGGTGTGCCGAAATGGGCGTACGGGACGCATGCGGGAACATCCACAGGGACCTTCGGTGGGGCTGCCTATGGGGCCACGACAGCTGTGAAGGGGTTGCCGAAATGGGCGTGCGGGACGCATGCGCATGCGGGCACACCCACTGGGACCTTCGGTGGAGTTCCCTATGGGGCCACGAAGCGTATGAGGGGTGTGCCGAAATGGGTGTGCGGGACGCATGCGGGCACACCCATTGGGGCCTTCGGTGGAGCTCCCTATGGGGCCACGAAACGTGTGAACGGTGTACCGAAATGGATGTGCGGGACGCATGCGGGCACACCCACTGGGGCCTTCGGTGGAGCTCCCTATGGGGCCACGAAACGTGCGAGGGATGGGCCGACATGGGTGTGCGGGACGCATGCGGGCACACCCATTGAGACCTTCGGTGGGGCTCCCTATGGGGCCACGACGCGTATGAGGGGTGTTCCGACATGGGTGTGCGGGACGCATGCGGGCACACCCACTGGGACCTTCGGTGGGGCTCCCTATGGGGCCACGAAGCGCGTGAGGGGTGTGCCAAAATGGGTGTGCGGGACGCATGCGGGCACACCCACTGGGACCTCCGGTGGAGCTTCCTATGGGGCCACGAAACGTGTGAGGGGTGTGCCGAAATGGGTGTGCGGGCCGCATGCGGGCACACCCACTGGGACCTTCGGTGGGGCCCCCTTATGGGGCCACGAAACGTGTGAGGGGTGTGCCAAAATGGGTGTGCCGAAATGGGTGATGACGATGATGATGGTGGGAGGAAGAGGAGGAGAAGGAGGAGGAGGAGGAGGAAAGGAGGAGGAGAGG